CAGAATTTGAATTTGGGCGGCCTCTCGTTCCTACATATTCAATACTCCCCTATTACGAACTCTTCTTACTGTTTCTCTTCTTCCTAACGACTCAGAGCTCAAGCCCCTTTTCTCTCATACTCAACTGCCATTCTTTGTGCTTGGAAGAATAGCCCCAGCCCTTCACAGGTAAGATCTTCAATCCCTCTTGAGTAGCTATATTCTTTCATTATACACACATTAGGGCACAAAAACGTAGCTATTAGGGCATAGGTCGTAGAATCCGCACCTAACCTCCCATTGTTCTTGGTGTTCTTCATCTTCATGAAGAACACTGAAACTTTCCAAACGAGACTAATAAGTGCTTTGCTTTGAAGCCCAAGGACACATCGTTTCTTTAGTCTAAAAGTCAAAAAGTTATTCAAAAAATCAAAAAACCTATAACTTATACAAAAAAGTCAAAGATTCACTTTTGTCTCTACTTTTTGCATATCTTTTCGTAAAAAATCAAAAAGTCAATCCAAATATACTATTTTTTTACCTCATATTTTAGTAAAAAAGCAAAAAAATTACTAAAATAACATGTTTCCAAATGAGGCCTTAATATGTTAATTTTTGGAGCTAGGATTCCTATTAATCTCTGGAGTTGAGATTCTTGGAATTGTTTCGAGTCTTTTTTAATTATCTGAATTATTCATATTGTAGATTTTATTGACTAGATCATTCATGTAATAAAATTCAATTGATTGAATATTTGTAGCTCCATACCATAAGCACATTTATTTTTTCAAAAATAAATACTTAACATGATTTAGATAATTTTTAAAAAATAATTGGAACCTAATTTTGCGGTTAAGAATGTATGATTAACTTATTTTTTTTAATGAATAATATACTTGACAAATAATATAATATAAACAATTCAGATTATTAAAAATAGACCTAAAAAAAACTCCTAAACCACTTCACGAGGGATTGATCTGCTTGACGTGCAACCCTCTGCCGCAGAAGGACTGATTGATGTGTCTTGCAAACAAGTGTCCCTAAGACACAACTAAAAAACAAAAGAATTAAAAATACGAGTCATTTTTTGCTAAATTTAATACACTTTCATTGAAATTAATACACTTTTAACATTTTTATATATATTTTAAGATACTTTTTACACACTTTTCAAAATTGAACAATGCCTAGCGGGTACTTGTTAGCTGTAACAATCCCGATCCGTAATTAATTAGTAATCCATAATTAACGATGTTAATTAAGTGATTAAAATAAATTATATGTTTATCGTGTATTTTGTATGTTATTTGGCTTTCTATCTGTTACTCGTAGAACTATCTGTCTGGAATTCTGCTTTGATTTGAAAATTGAAAGTCTTATTGGCCTCCGAAACCAAAATTGGTTACATCAATATGTTATTCGGAATTTTTAGAATCATATGACAAATTTTATTAAAAACTGATTCAGTTTACTTTTATTGAAATTAAATTTAATACACTTTTATTGAAATTAATACACTTTTAACATTTTTATATATATTTTAAGATACTTTTTACACACTTTTCAAAATTGAACAATGCCTAGCGGGTACTTGTTAGCTGTAACAACCCCGATCTGTAATTAATTAGTAATCCATAATTAACGATGTTAATTAAGTGATTAAAATAAATTATATGTTTATCGTGTATTTTGTATGTTATTTGGCTTTCTATCTGTTACTCGTAGAACTATCTGTCTGGAATTCTGTTTTGATTTGAAAATTGAAAGCCTTATTGGCCTCCGAAACCAAAATTGGTTACATCAATATGTTATTCGGAATTTTTAGAATCATATGACAAATTTTATTAAAAACTGATTCAGTTTACTTAATTAAGTTGTGTTTGGTTGGCCAAATGTTCTAATTATTGTATTAAGCCACTACAATTATATAAACGTGACCCTTAAGCTCATTTGAGCTCATCTTTGCCTATTGTTGAGAGCAAAAATCTAAGATTGTATTCTAGAGAGAGAGTGAGTTCACTTTTAGAGTGAGAAAGTGTAGGAATTGAAGAGAAATTGAAGGCTTTGGCTTGAATTCTTCAAGATTGTGCTAATATCTAACTAATTGAAGACTCTAGGTAAGAATTTAATTTCTAAATTGTGAATCTAAGGCTCGGTTTGGAAGAGCTTTGAATACATAATTATACCTCTTGATTTGCACGTGGTATTTGGTTATAGTTTTCAAAAATTAATTCCACATTCACTTTTGAAAACTCTTTCCACGGCGGGAAAATTTGGATTAACCGGTAGTCCTCCCGGATGTTCGGCCGGTTGATCGGAACAGTGCAATTTATTTATTTATTTATTATTTTTAACAATTGGCACCTATTATTTTTTATATTTTAAATAAACAAAATTTGGAATTTTTAAATTTTTTTATGAGTTTTGAATAGAATTTTGAGTTGTGTGTTTGGTTATGAGTTGTAAGTTTCTGTATCAAATATCATTTGTCATATCAAAAATTTCCCACTTAATTCTAAACTATTTTCAAAACTCATTCACCAAACAAATTTTCCACACTCAAATCATAATTCCAAAACTTATAAACTCAAAATACAACTCTTATTCTTAAATCATATTTAGAAAATTCTACCAAACGCTACCTTATACTTGCATGTCAATAATAATGACATCACCATTACATTCGAAAATTTTCATAGATAATATGGTTTATAGTAGTCTTGTCATTTTCAATTAAAACAACCATTATTATCCTCATAATTTTTAAAATGTCATTGACATTTCACTCTAATAATATTTTTGTAATTTTTTTTTATTTAAAATATTTTCTTTATGTTTGCAAAAAAAAAAATTTAAAAAAATTCCAAAATCTAGGGAGGGCACGTGACCCCTCTGGGCCTTCACTCCCTCCGCCACTTGCAACACTTATATTTATTCCAATAATACTAAACAATTTCTCTATGTTTATAGTTTTTACCATTTTGGGTACGGGTAGTGTGCATCTTAAAAATGAAAATAGAAGAATAAAAAATATAATGTAGTGTTTTTTTTGTTTCTCAAAATATAAATTTAAAGATTCATTTGGCATTTGATTTTTGGCTAAAAAAGGACAAAAAGATAAAATTGGCTACATAAGTCAATAAAATAAAATATCACATCCAAACCATAATCATTACACTTTTTCTCTCACAAAAGTCAGAAAAGAAAAAAAAAAACCAAACCAAACGAGGCTAAAAAAGTCCTAACACAAAAAAGCCAACTAAAAAAGCCAATTTCAAATGAAGACTAAATGTATTTTTCTTAACACAATAAGTTGAGAGCACAATGTGTCTAATGTGAGACCATAAATTATCTTCTTTTATTTTTGTGTTTCAATTGCAGTTGGAGGTTCTATATGGGACAAAAATTAGACTGAAATATTTATAACTTTTTGCTTTGAATTTAGTATGAAATTCACACAACAAAATGAAAAAAATTGTAGTGTATATCTATAAACTTGTCCCTCGTAAGTCATATTTTCTGGATCTATATCATCTTGCCCACAACACAATACAATCAAAAGCATTTTCTTTTATTAAATAAAAGAAGCAAAAAGTTACAAAGCCATCACTATCAAACAAACAATAAAGCAAGTCTTGAGGCATGATTGCTATCTCACTGAACTCCATTGTTTTCTCATCAATCTTCCACCAATTAAACGTCGGGCCACAAGGGCCATTGCACAATCCAACTAATACAAGTTGATCTTGACAAGAAACCAAGAATGAAAACAAAAACCCTAGGAGGCCTAAGTGTCTGGACCTCACTCCAAAAGTGTTTGTTCAAATCAAAACACAAAACAGAGCATGAGCAAATCCCAAATACAGGGAGAAGAGGAGAAGATGGAGAGATGATGGCGATGTAGTAAGGTTGATCTGCGAGAGACGACGACGACGGTAGAGGAGAGGAGAGAAATGGCAACGAGGAGGAGATGAAAGAGATGGCGAGCAAGGGGCGAGAGATGGTGGTGGTGACGGTGATGGGGATGAGGGAAGAGAGAAGTAGATGAGGGAAGAGAGAAGTAGGCGAGATAAGAGAGAGAGAGAGAGAGAGAGAGAAACCTAGATGAGAAAAAGAGAGAAAAACAGTAAAGGAGGATCAAAAATATGAGAGGATCAAAAAATGAATTAACATGTAAAGAGATTTTTTTTTATTTTAAACATAATCTGCGGATTATGCGGCGGGTTTCGGATTTGCACGGATAGGGTCGGGTTTTACTCGAACCCGATTTTATATACAAAAATAGACCCGCACCCGCCCTATTTATGCATGAGGGTAGGGTCGGATTTGTGCGAGTAGGGTCGGTTTGGCACGGATAGGGTCGGGTCTTACTCGAACCCGATTTTATATGCAAAAATAGACCCGCACCCGCCCTATTTATGCATGCGGGTAGGGTCGGTTTGGCGCGGGTTGTGCAGATCGGATAAACCGTTGCCCACCTCTAGTTTGAATGGATCAAAGACTCACAATGGAGAAAAAAGTGCTTACAACACATACATTTATTTAGCTCAACAGTTTTCTCTTTTAACTTAACTTTCTATTTTCAATAAATCAGTGATCCAAATAATTGAAGCATTACTTGTAAAAACAAAGAGATGTGTTATGTTTTAGTGGCTAGGCACCCAGAAGAGAGTTTGGAATTGTTAATTATAGGGAAAATAATATGTCAGTATAATGTTAAAAAAATAGTACCAACTTTAAGCAAAAGTTTATAAAAGTGTCTTAGTGTTGCAAAGATTTTCATTAATTTAAGATTATTTATCTTACATTCCACTTAAATGATATTTTCTCTTAATTTGAGTACAGGCAGATGTCAGACTGGGTTGTTTTAAAGATTACTACTTAAAAAAAATTGTAACGCCCCATGTTTTATTACTCGAATATCATTATCCAATCCCTGATTATAGTTCATTTCCATAATAATAAAAGCGGAAGCAAGAATAAATAGCTCAGCAATAAATGTTCTCTCTCGTATGTAAGATGATAAACTATTCAATAATAATAATTTATAACATGTGCCCTTAGGCTTACATAGAAGAAAATAAAACAAAACAAATAAATAAAAAGGGATCAACCCTTATTACAATAAGATGGCATTCCGCCTACAAGTAATAGACCCCGTGGTCAACAAATAAGGAGACTCTATGGTCTTGAACAATATTCCAAACTTCTCACTTGAAAAATGGTTAACAACGTGGGATGAACACTAATGTCCAGTAGAGATCCCAGTGATTCTAAACAATAGTAAAATATAGATATATATGATCATGAATGCTTTAGCTCAATAAATATACATAGATAGTGTTGTTTTGCATATCCAAAATATACATACATATGTATACTTTTCTCAAAAAAATCATTCTTTATCATTTCAAGAAAAATGCATTTTTCAGACCTTCGTAACTCATTATTTTCAATTCAAAAGATTTCCAAACCGAAGTCACATCTCGAATATCACACACAATAACCATTTCGGCAACTCTATGACTCATCTTTTATAATCCAAATGATTTCATCACGTTGTTTATTTTCAAAATCAATCCACAATTAATCCTTTATACTCTCGTGCTACTCATTTACATCAAACAACACTAATAAACATAACAATTGTATTCTCAATAGAATCAATTCACCTCATAACACAACTTCAACTATATTCTCAATACATATTTTCGTCAACAATAATCTCTACAAATATACACACATTAGCAATAAAATTTCGTAATAAAATAAACAACTTAACGTCTCGCCAAGCCCCACATTACCATCGTGGTCTCCCCAAGACCCACGTTTGCCTGCTTTACTGGTTGCTAGTCGGAAGGAACGCATTACCTGTATATAGCACATCAGCCCGCTTTACCGGTTGCTAGCCGGAAGGATCGCGTTACCTCTAAATAGCACAACCACATTCCATAACACGTGCATCTCAATTTCCTTCCATTCATTTACATATAATTATGTAATTATGCAGTTATTCAACAACACATGAGGTTTCATATCAACCTATTTCACATCAATTCTACAACAAGTAATACCATCATTCACCGATGGCCAAGGACAAAACCTCTAAGCATTTAATAGTAATAATATAAATTCTTATAAACAAGATAGTGTGATTCTCATAACATTTCCATACCTCAATATTACCATCGTTATCTAGAGTTAGATTAAAAATTATACCATCTCGTAATGTCCACAATTGATTCCACTACTTTTGATCACCAATACTTACGACATAGACCAATTTCATGATAATCATTTACTTCATTCTCTCTCTACTTTCCATTTCTAGTTCACAATAATTATTACAATCATCTATTAATTACTTTTTAACTATCACATTTTTCAATTTACCAATGACAATACCTAACTCAACCATTCATAAACATTAACCCTTTTTCATATTACATAACCATCAAATAAAAATTAGGGTTTTTCATTTTAAACTTCATAACTAACTTTTAATAGCATCCATGCATCATATTAACCAAGACATCACAAGATCAACCATTTAAATTTTCTTCTCTTCCCATTTAACATTTCTTATTCACAAAAAAATCAACATGACTCAATATTTATATAAAAAAAAAAATATCATCTTTTCTTTTCATTCTCATAAACATTAAATTAAAAATTAGGGCTTTTTATTTCAACCATCATAAACATGTTCTGTTAGCTTAAATTTCCATAATCAACAACAAAATATAAGATTAAACTATTTGATTCAAAACCCTAAATCTCATCTACATGTATTTCAAAAAAAATCACTTATAAACTCATGTTTTTCATGTCATAAAAAGTACCACATATCCATCTATAGTGATATATTGAAAAGAATCAAAGAGATCCCTACCTCAAAATATGAAGAAAAACAAATCTGAAATGCAAGCTTGTCGGATCAAGAATCCAAGACTACCGGTGTGAAGAGTGCAGCGGGCTCTCCAACTTCCATTTACAAAGATTGTGCAAAATCTCGCTCTAAGGATTTCCACTCTAAACTCAAAGCTTGAGCAACAATAATGGAAATTGGAGAGCTAGAGAGACGGAACCAACTCTCTGGCAAAGGAAAAGAAAATGAAGCAAAAGGAGCAAAGAAAAGGTAAAAAGGAAGGGGGGTGGGGGCAGCCCTACGTGGGTTGCCTCTTCCTTTTTTTATTATTTTTATTTATTTATTTATTTTTAATTTATACATATATCTATATATATACATCAATTAAAATTATTTTAACAACATTTTAATATTTTGTAATATAAAATAATATAATTTGTCTCATCACAAAATTTATTTTCCGTTTGATAAAACACACCATAAATTCACATTTCAAACATTTATTATAATACAATATAACAAATAATAACAACTCTCGAAGTGGTACTTTCCATTCATATAATTAAAAAGGACCAAACAATTAAACATGTATTACATGAACTCAAATTAAATTGATTCTAAATTATGGCTCTTGAATTAAATTTCCACCCATGAACTAACTAAACATGCCCCAAATATATACAAAACTAAACCAAATAAGTTTTACCTCAAGTCATGATTTTAATATCAAATCTCAACACAAAAATTCTACTGTACATTAAACTAAACACTGTTCAATTCTTAAATTTTCAGAAAATAAATACTCATGCATAAACACTTCATAAAATTTTCGTTAGTGTTTGAGCTATACTACTATTTTTAAAATTTTACAAAAGCAAGGTCTTCAACTCGAGAGACACAAATTTCACCCCAAACTTATGTAACAAATAAAGAACTGTTTTTCAATTATTATAAACCCATTTACAAATGATCTTTTCATATAAAACAAATATCACTAATCACGGGTTGCGACAACCATTCAATTAAATTATGTAATGATTTAAAAAAAATAAATCCGAGTCATTACAAAAATTATTAATTTCAGCATCCATAAAAAAGTAGTATTTTTCAAAACAGAGAATAAACTAATGAGAAAACATACCCACAGTAAAACAGAGTGAGTCCGAAGATAGACAATCAAGACAAGAATAAATAAGTTATTCGGGATTTGGATTCCTAGACGCAGCATCTCCAACCATACTCTCTAAAATGCCTCCTCAAAGTACACAGAAAACTACCTTCTTTATTTTGCCTAGCTAGTTTAACTAATGTACACTCCAATCATACTCTTTATTTTAGCTAACCAATCAAACTAACTTAACTAATTTTTAAAAGAAAACTATTATAAACATTAAGAGGAACCTCATTGAGTCGAATAAATTGATGACAAACATACCAGGAAACAAAGAAAGAAATCAAAGTGAAGCTAATGTATTAATTTAGAGTTCAAAGAGTTCTGACCTTGAAATCCAATGTTCAGACCTCTTGAATCTTCTTGAATCGCAAGAAGTAAACTAAGCTTAGCGAGATCAAACAGAAGGGGAAGGGTTTCGTAGTGCAAGAGGTGAGTTGAGAGAGATCGTTGATGGGGAAGAACAGGAAAGGGAGAAAGAGAGAGAAAAGAGAAAGAGAGTCACCTGAGTTGGCGAGAACACACTTTGCCTAGCAATGGAGGCTGGCTACCTGTGGAGAACCAAAACGAGAATGGGCAAAATGCCTCACCATTTGCCTCATGCGTTGGAACCCTAGAAATGCAGCTTCAATAGGTAAAATACCTAATTCTCTCCATTTGCCTCATGCGTTGGAGATGCTAAGCTCGTGCAGCAACCAACAATAAAGAAGTCATGAACCGCATTAGAGAATTGGTAGCCCCTCTTCATCATTTTGTCCAAACACTGAAACTAAGATCTCCTTGTAACATATAGCCCAAAGCCCAAGAGCATTGCCACATCCGTAGATCTCAAGATTTCTCATCTCATAGGTTTCAAGGTTATACAACACTAGCTCATTCGTCTAACTTTCAAACAAAAGCTCCTCCTTCCAAAACTCACGCGGAAGAAAAACTTCTGGAAAGGGATTTACTGTTATTAGTTTGGTCCAACACCCTTCCTCCTCCATCACCCATATATCAATAATAGATTGCAAAATCACACCAGTTTGACAAAGGAACAGACCAATAGAATCATTGTATAATGAAAGAAACCCCCATTGAGGTTCAGGATGATCAGGCCCTTCTTTCTCTCTAAATTCCTTCAGCCGCATGTGAAATGGAAGGATCCTATGTTCACTATAATCCAAACCAGACAACCAATAATATGCTTTATTTATGCATGTGGCACACAAAGAATTATAGATATTGCGGTCTTTAGGTATTGTAAGAAGATCGAAATGCCTCCACGATTCTTTACTTAGAGTGTATATTGCAGCAACATGATAAGGATAGTCTATATCATATGTTTCATCACCAATCCTTTCAACAAAGTAGCGAATCCAAATAATCTTGTAATCCCTAGTCAATGGGTCCAACCCAAATCCAACCACACTTGTAAGGGCATGAAAATTCAGGGGAAAGATAGGTTCAAGTACATGGAGGCGGTTGAACTCTCTCATAGCAGGGTTCCACAAAGCCATACGGTCACTGTTGCTATAATACCCAGGAATGTGCAACAAAAATATGTCGTCAATGGGGCCAACAACATTTCCTATATCTTTTAGACTCTATAGATGACCAAGATTTTCATGCAAAGGTGGTATGTCAGCAAGTGTTTCATCAGGGAAAAGAGCGATAGCATATCTATCAATGTCAGAAATATAATGCTGAACAAGGAGACGACCATTATTATTTTCCTGGTTAAAGTGCTTGCTAATGAAATCAGGGCTTTTAATTAGAGTGTAATAACAGCACGACAGCGTAAATAATAATACCGTATGGTATTTTAAAACTAACATCCAACTGAGAGAAATAGTTGAGCTTGGTGGGCCTGTTCTGAATCATTCACCTTTAAATGTCCATTGAGTATAATAGTTAGGCAAAAAAAACCAATGTGATCGAATATTGTTAACCATATGATTAGATTATATTTGTATTATAAAAAAATGAATGGTCTATAATTGAAATTATATTTCTGTCTATTTTTTTAAGACAAATGTGATATGAAAATATAACTATTAATATCCGATCATCTTAATTTTTTGTATTAATATTTTTATAACATGCCTCAAAATAGGCTCACCATACCTAACCATCCAACTCAAGAATTTGGTTTTTCTTGAGTTCTTTTTTATTCCTTCCAATCTTTTTTCTTTCCAATCTAAAAAAAAGAAAAAGAAAAAACGGATTCTTGAATAATTTCTCATGTTTTCGACAAACTATCTAGTAATTGCAACTTTTCATGTCCAAGAACAATGAAGCAAAAGCTGGCCTAGATATAGTAGTAACATGTACGCATGTTATATACTATATATTAAAATCTGATCATAATAATGTACACTAAATCATTCCACACGTGAGAGGAGTTCATCAAATTAAAATATAAACAACTGGGCAAATTCTAACTATTGATCTATTTCTGAAATATAAATATTAGCTCTTGTTTACATAGGTTAAGAAAATTTTATATTTTCTTGCAAAATGTATAATATTTTAAAACTTATTGATATGTGTCTTTAAAATATGTGTTAATAAAATTATTAAATATTTTAAAGATAAGTAACAAATGTTAGGGACAAATGCATTTATAGAGCATTTGTCACCATTTCTTTTCATTTTTCTATGTGATTATGTAAATTGTCATCCCTAATTACAAGAAAGGCAACAGCAGTGTACTTTGAACATCGGCTGGACTGGAGATCTTAGAGGTTGGGCTATGTTGGGCCTAATTGATTCTAGCAGAAAGTTACAAGACTAATAAATGGCCAATGTGTTACTTTCATCAGGTGTCCATGTATATCCATTTAATGATAATTTACTTTTTATTCATCATTTCTTTATTTATTTGGAAAAAAATTATTTAGTTATAAATTCTATAAAAATACTTGTAATCTGATAACTCAATTGAGGGAGTGGGGCAGGCGGATTGACAATCTGGGATTTAGGGCTGTTCAAATATCTGTCTGTCCCAGTTAACTCGCTCTATTCGACTCGGATAAACTACTAACAAAAGGTTCCGACGGTCATTTCTAAAAATAATTTATATACACGTGTAACGTCTAATTTAATATTGATTAATTGAAATAATAGAATTCAATATTTTTTTTGTTAAATTTTTAACAAATGCCAAATGATAAATGGTAAGAGTATTATTTTACAGAATAATGATTCATCAAAAATAATTATATATATTTAAGGCATGTTTCTTGAGTAGTTTTTATATAAAAATTTTGAAATTTTAATATTATTGATAATGTACCTTCATTAGCTCTGCCAAAATATGTATGCAAAAATAATTTAGCTGGAATAAAAAATTTACAATTATTATGATGTGTCATATAATTAATCAAAATCCTTTTAAGAACTGAACCTATTAAGGTTATAGAGATTTTGTGCTTAATTCTTTTTAAAAACACTATTTATGATTTGAATTAAAAAAAATTTATGCATCAATGTGAATAACTCTTACTATCCTACCTTTGAGTAAACCCACCTTAAGATATAATTAAAGACCTGATGTATCACTTTAGATACGATTAAAAACAAAAGAAATTAGTAAAAATCTTTTCAATTAATAATCAAAATAATACACCATGAGTTATAATCAAGTCATAATTTATATATATTATAAAAATGTTAGTTATTTTTATTTTTTTCAGAAAAAAATATTTTGATATAAGTGAAATTCATAATTTTTTGATAAATTAGATTAATACAAATGATGATTTGATTTCAAGTTAAAAATATAATTTTTTTTAAAATTATTTGAATTTTTTTTATAAGCCTTTTACATAGTGACATAATTTTTTATCAATCATTAGCAAATCTATTTATAATTTGGCTTTCAATTGTTAGAATTTTTCTACACAAAATATTAAGATTCAAAATTAATTTTTCATTTTAAATTAAATTATCATGTATCGCACAAAATACCTACTAGTTAATTAATAAAGAGATTGAGATAAAAAGTGTGAAAATGTTCCATCCCCTAATTTTTCCAAACTCACCCAATGATATGGCAAATAATAAATTGTTATCATTCGAGGGAGTTCGGGGGTAGAAATTAGGAGATGTAGTATTACTCTTCAAAATAATAATAAAAAGTATAGACTGGTCAACATATATAATTTTGATTTATTAATTTCAACATCCATAAAAAAAAGTACAAATTTTCAGAAGAGAGAAAATAAACCAACGAGACAACCTACACACACAAAAAAAAAAAAAAGAAAAAAAAAAAAAATCCGAAGAGGACAATCAGATAACAATAATAATAGTTCATTTTGGATTTGGTTCCCTAAACGCTAGGCTCTGGTTTCCTAAAGAAGTCCTGAACCGCATCAGAGAATTGGTAGCACCTCCTCCCATCCTCATCATTTTGTCCGAACAATGAAACTAAGCTCTCTTTGTAGCAAACAGCCCAAAGCCCAAGAAAACCGCCACATCCGTACATTTCAAGATTTCTAATCTCATGAGTTTCATGGTTGAACAACACCAGCTCGTTCGTCCGAGTTTCAAAGAAAAGCTCCTTCTCCTTCCAAAACCCAAACGGACGTGAAACTTCTGGAAAGGGTTTTACTGTTACTAGTTTGATCCAACACCCTTCCTCCTCCATCACCCATATATCAATAATACATTCCAAAGTCAAACCAGTTTGAGAAAAGAACAAACCAATAGAACCGTTGTACAATGAAAGAGACCCCCATTTATGTTCAGTACTAGCAGGCACCTCTATCTCTCTAAACTCCTCTAGCCTCATGTCAAATGAAAGGATGCCATATCGATTAGCATCATTAACTACAGTACACAGCCAATAATATGCTCCATTTATGCATGTGGCACATAAAGAATTATAGATGGCACGACGTGTAGGCATCGTAAGAAGATCGAAATGTCTCCACGAATCTTTGCCTAGAGTGTACACTGCAACAACATATTAAGGATAATCTATTTCATCACCCGATTCAACACCTGATTCATCACCAATCGCTTCAGCAAAGTTGCGAATCCAAATAATCTTGTAATCCCTAGTCAATGGATCCAACCCAAATCCAACTACATTTACAATGTCATGAAAATTTGGTGGAAAAATTGGTTCGAGCACTTCAAAAGTCTTAACCTTTGGCAAAGTGTTGCATTTGGAAAAAGATGAAATATTATTTTTTGAGAATTCAAAAAATTTATTAATATTTCTGGAACTGTAAAAAAAAAAAAAACTCATCCGGTTAGTTTTTAGTTTTTGGAGTTTTTTTCTTTTTTCTTTTTTCCCCCTAATATACAAGTTCACCTATAGAAATATATGGAATTTCTTAGGAATAGATGGAGAGATTCTAAGACATGGAAATAAATCAATAAACCAAAAACATATGAATAGATCGGTAAAAACCAGACAATTGACAGATAAGAAGCACAGAAAAATAAAGTAAAAAACAGAGAACCAGCTTCAAATGTTAACGCAGAGAGAGAGAGCGAGAGAGATTGCTTCGGGCGATGTGGTTGAGAGATGTCTATATACCTAAAATCTCCACAATTTCAACAGGAGAGATTAATAAGAACAGCCACAATCTAACACAAAATAATATTAGTCAGTCCAAATTAAACTAATACAGACAAACAACTGTGGTCATTGCACTCCAAGATCAAAAAATAATATTAAAAAAAATGCCCACAACCTGGATAGCAAAAGGAGAGTAAATAGAAGAGCAAGAGAAACAAATCTGGAGAGTAAATAAGAGAGCAAGGAGAAAGGGAGACTTACCAGTTACCAAATCGACGATCTGAGAGGATGATCGACGGCGACCGACAAGGCTAGCGACGGCGGTGGCGGCAACCGACAAGTTGAGGAGGAGCGAGGCGGAGAGAGACGAGAGTTTCTTACAACTACGATGAATGAAACGAGATGTTGGGGGTGAATTAGGGGTGGTTTGGTTTGGGATGATGTATTTTTATTTATTTATTTATTTTTTTGAACGATGGGATGATGTATTTTGGTGTCAATAAAAATAAAAATAAAAATAAAAATATTAAAATAGTTTAAGATAAAATATCAAGAAAATTTTATATTATTTTGTTTTTAAAATTATTATACAAAAATTAATTTGGCATTAAGATTTTGTATTATTTTAATTTAATTCTTAATTTTTTTTAAAAAAAATTGTCCAATTTACTTCTCGTCGTCTATTTTCAATTACAATCAAATGAAATTTGCTGACTTAGCACTAAATTTAATTTGGAATTTTATTTTACCTCCAAACTATGCCTTAAAAATCAATAAGCCCCCTAAATATAAAAAAAAATTAAATTTTAAATAATATACTTTACAAAAAATAATAAAAATATATAAAATTCCTCATTTAGAATTATCTTTTTAAGTTTCAAATTATCTAGAGTCCATATTGGATAAACTAATTGAGTCGAAAATTTATTGGTTACTTTATGTGTATGCATGCACATACTTGTAACTAGATTATTCCCCAAATTAATTTTTATAGAATCGATCGACTTATAGTAATTTCAAAATTGAGTGGGTAAAAAAAAATTAAAATTCAATTACTGTCTAAATAATATTCAACAAGACTAACACTCAGTTTTTTTATTTAAAATTTAATTTTTTCATTTTTGAAATAAAAATTATTAATTAAATATCTATTTTTTTTTTTTTTTTACTTGTGTAGAGTTAGTACTCTCTTTTGTAACCAAGATGTTGACTTGGAAAGTTGTAAGCCTATAGGGCATTTAC